GAAATTTCCGTTGATCGGGTTGCCTAGGAACAGGCAGCAGGTTTTCATAAGACAAAGCAATAGATTGCCACCGATAGGGCTGTTAGGAACTGAGCTGGTTAGCCGCATTATTCCCATCCTGGTGTCAGCCTTAGGTAATTATCTGCCTGCCTGCTCAGGGCACGCCCATCTTCCTGTGCTGGGGCAGCTTCCTGCAAAGGTGACTTCTCAGCCTCCAGCCCCCAGGATGGGGGCGCAAAGGCAGGGCCTAGGGCTAATCACCATGCCTGAGCTATGAGGGGAAATCTAAAAGACCCGATGTGGTTGAATTTATTTCTTTTTAATCACCTTTCTCTACCTCCATGCAAGAGGAATCCCCCAATAACCCTAGTGATGACAGGCTGTTGCATTGTTTTATGTAAACATGCAGCCACTACGCGGCAGGAAACAGAAAATACACAGTAGCAAAATACACCATAAATTTTTAGCTGCTCTAAGACAACTTTGGTAGATCTTTTAAATATTTTTAGTGCAATATACACACTTGGTTTTTTTTCCCTTCACAAGGTCACTGTCATTTATGTCTGTCTTCCTGCAGGTAGGGTAACTAATGTCCTGGTCTGCCTGGGACCTAGGAGGTCCCCAGTACCAGTACCTCATGGCCAGTGTTTCGGTGGTACTTGACCAAACTCCAGTTCATCAGTCTCCTGTTCTGTTCGTTTGTTTGTTTATTTGTTTGGATTTGTTTTTTAACTTTTTTAAAGAGGTGTGTGTGTGTGTGTGTGTGTGTGTGTGTGTGTGTGTGTGTGTGTGTGTGTGTGTGTGGCTTTTCTGAGACAGAGTTTCTGTGTATAACAGCCCTGGCTGTCCTGGAACTCACACTGTAGACCAGGCTGGCCTCAAACTCACAGAGATCCACCTGCCTCTGCCTCCAGGGTGCTGGGATTAAAAGCATGTGTCACCACGCCCCGCCTTGAAAATGTATTTTATTTTATATATATCAGTGTTTTTGCCTACAAATATGTCTATGTACCACATGTATGCCCTGTATCTGCAGAGGTTGGAAAAGGTAGTTGGATCCCCTAGAACTGGAATTATGGACAGTTGTGAGCTACCACGTGGGTGCTGGGACTGGAACCTAAGTCCTCTACAAGAACAAGTGCTCTTAACTGTTCAGCCATCTAGAAGCCCCCATTCCATTACTCTGTGTGTGTGTGGGGGGGGGGTTGTGGGTGTGTATGTGTATATGTGTGTCCGTGTGTCTGTGTGTGTGCCCTGCCACACATAGGGAAGTCTTAGAGGACAACTTTAAGCAGTTCTCTTCTTTGACCATGTGGGTCAGACTCAGGTGGTCAAGCGTAGCAGCAAGAGCCCTTACATACTCAGTGATCTCATCTTACCTAGTCGTTGGCTCATTATTGTTGTTGTTGCTGTGCCTGGCAAACAGCCTTGGTCATAGACCCTCAGTACACATTTCTACATGTAGGATTATTAGATCAAAAGATGGGCTCATGGTAGGTTTCTATATATTAACCAGTTGCCCTTCATGAACATCCCAGGGCTGATTTCTGCCTGTTGTGGATTGACTGTTAATTATGCCCTACAGCTCATACATTTGAACCCTTGGTCCCTAGCTGGCGGTGCTGCTGGGAAATCTTTAGGGGATAGAGCCTCTCTGGAGGAAGTCTGTCTCTGGGGGCAAGCCTTCAGTTGTTTTGCTTTGTTATTGTGTTACAATGTATTTTTAGTATGTGTGTCTGTCTGTCTGTGTGTGTCTCTGTCTGTCTGGGGAGGTGCACTTACACACACACACACACACACACACACACACACACACACACACACACAGAGGTGCCAGATAAGATACCCTAGAGCTGAAGTTACAGGAAGCTGTGAGCTGCCTGGACTCAAAAATCAGCCGGCCGTCCAGGCGCGGCCGTCCGGGCAGTAGTGGTGCATGCCTTTAATCCCAGCACTCGGGAGGCAGAGGCAAGCGGATCTCTCTGAGTTCGAGACCAGCCTAGGCTATAGAGTGAGTTCCAGGACAGGCGCCAAAGCTGCACAGAGAAACCCTGTCTAGAACCCCCCACACACACACACACAAAAAATCAGCCTTCCGAAAGGACAGTGTACGCCTTTTTTTTTCCCCTTTGAGACAGAAACTCACTATGTAGCTCTGGCTGTCCTGGAGCTCACTATGTAGATCAGGTTGGCCTCAAACCCACAGAATATGCCTGTCTCTGTCTCCCGAGTCCTAGGGTAAAAGGCGTGTACTACCACACCCAGTTTACAGTCAATACACACTCTTAACCACTGAGCCTCTCCAGCGTCCAGGCCTTGATGTGTATGTATCTCAGCCCCTCGTTTTCCCTGCCCTTTGCTTCCTGACTACAGTTTCCTCACAACTACAGCCATGCCTTCCTCCACCAATCCGTGAGCCAAAACAAGCCCTTGTTCGCTGAAATTGCTTCTGGTCAGGTATTTGATGACATTGGGAAGAAGTAATGCACTTTCCTCCGTCCCCATACCCGCAGGACCCTCATTTCAAACAGTGCTGTCCTCAGGACCCATTGAACAGACTAGAACACATCCTGTGCGTGCGTGCGTGCGTGCGTGCGTGCGTGCGTGCGTGCGTGCATGTGTCTGTGTGGATGGGAATCAGAGGGCAGCTGTGGCTGGCAGTCCTTGTCCTCCTGCCTCGGGTGAGACACAGAATCTGCTGTCTTTCCCCTGCCTACACCAGCTTTTCTGGCCCACAAGCTTGCAGGATTCTCCCATTGTCCTCACTGGACTGCTGGGACTATAGATGCTCAGGCTGCACGTGCATCTCTCCATGGGCTCTGGACCTCTGAACCAGGTCTTCATGCCTATGTGGCCCATGTCTTCATCCACTGAACCATCTTCCCAGTCCCCAAAAATATTTTATTTTGAAGATATGTTTATTTTGAAGATATTGTTTGTTTTTTCCGAGACAGGGATTCTCTGTGTAGCTTTGGTGCCTGTCCTGGAACTCACTCTGTAGACCAGGCTGGCCTTGAACTCACAGAGATCCGCCCTCCTCTGCCTCCCAAGTGCTGGGATTAAAGGCGTGCACCACCCCCCACCCCCCATGAAGCTCTGTGCTTCTTTATTAACTTGTGAGCTGCCTGTTTGTGTCTTTTTCCTATTTTCCTTTCACCTTGTTCATTTCTTCTAATCTACGAAATAAAAACAAATAAACCTCTTTATTGTAAGCATATCTATCATGCACACTGAGTGATTTTTGCCCATTTTTATAGACATTTGTAGTTACCACTCTTTAAAAAGCAAGAATAATACCTGTTACATGGTTTCAGAGTAACTATTTTAGGTCAAGTTTTCCCCTTGATCACCAAATAATTTCTTTTCTTTTTCTTTTTTTTTTTTTTTGAGACAAGACCTTGCTACATAATCCAGGCATTCCTCAAACTTGTAATCCTCCTGCTTCAGCATCCCAAGGGCTTAGATTAGAGGCATACACCCCTACTCCTGGCTTTATAATTACTACTAAAAATACTAAGTATTTTTAATTGGAGTATCTGGGATGAGCATATCTCCCAGATTGATCCTCTGTGTAGGCCCCCCCTTTTAAGCAGTGTGTACTGCATACAATTTAGCTAGCGCACTCTGGCTGCCTCAGACACGCCATAAGCAACTGTAATCTCCTGTGATACAGCGATACCCCTGGCAGCTGCTGAACCGAGTGAAGCTTTTGCTCCTATACCATATGTCCCCAGACTGTTTTCAACTAAGCTACCCGATTCTTCTTCCTCCGCCACAGTCAAGCTCCCATGCTGTTACTGCTGACTGCTCTAAGCGCCCTGCCTTGCCCTTGCAACAGCCCATCTTTATCAGCAATGAGCTTGATTTACAGCCAACGGTGCCTGTTAAATTCGCCTGTAAACCAAAAGCAAGTAATGCTGAGCAAGCTCGGGCACTGCCGTCAAACCACGCAGGAGCGTCCGCAGGCCACGAAGTCATTTACTAGAGTTTCAGGTTTTTATTGCACGTCTTTATTTATGTTGGAGTGCATGCGCCATGGCATGCCCAGGTGGAGGTCAGAGGACAGCTCTGAGAGGCAGTTCTCTCCTCCCGCCATGTGAGTCCCAGAGAATGAACGCAGGACATCAGGGTTGACGGAAAGCGACTTCACCCACCGAGCCACCTCCCTAGTCCTAAGGTTTTTACTTTGTATAAGAAATATTGTTCAGTAAGCGACCTCCGTACACCTATGTAGAATAGGGTCGTGAGATTTTGGAGGCAGAAGGTAAATGGAAAGATTAGAACCACCAAAAGACACACGTGCTAAACGCAAAGCCAGTAATCCATAGGAATAGAGTCTTTGTTAGACCTCAGGACTCCCTTGGCAAGTGGGGTGGTGTGGGGTTCCTTGGGGATTGAGACATCACTGACGTGGTAAATGTAACACCTGGCTTCAGGGCCTTTGCCTGCTGGGGTGGAATGTGCTATGTTACTCCTGAGCCTCTGATGTTGAGTATTCTCATCTGGGAGATGGAGCTAGGACTGAGTACCCTCTCTGTTTCATAAAAGGAGGTCTCTGATGGCCTGATGTGAGGAGTCCCTAGCCTTCAGGACCATCAAGGAAACTGTCTAAAAGGCCAAACAACCATGAAAGATGGTTATAATTGCCGCTGCCGCCGCTGCTGTTATCCACAGGCCCATCCATCAGCTGTCGCCGCCGCCACCGTCTTAGCCATCATGATTTCTGCACCAGGTTGCAGCCCCCTGTGTGTATCTGTAGCCTGCGTCCTCGCTGCCCTTCCAGAACCTAATTTCACCCTTGTAGGTTTTTCCAAAGCAGGATTTGCACAAGTGGTGTGGCTTCTTAAATATTTATTTTGCAGGCCATTTACTCAGCACAGCTATTTTTACAGTGAGTAAGGAGAAAGCTAAAAATAACAGCTCGTAACCCGATCGGTTCTGCGTCTGACATTTACGTGGAATTCATTTGCATCTCATTTGTCCTCTTTTCTGTTTAACAGGTAGAATGTAAGAAAGCCCAGCCGAAAGAAGTCATGTTCCCACCTGGGACGAGAGGCCGGGCCCGGGGGCTGCCCTACACCATGGATGCGTTCATGCTCGGCATGGGGATGCTGGGTGAGTCTGCACAGGTGTGGGGTTGGGGGAGCACAGTGGACCGACCGGGGGGGGGGGGGGTGAGGGTTGTGGCGGCCTGTACATGCTCCTAAGTCGCTTAAGTGTCCCTTAACTGATGTGAGCTTCAGTTTACCTGCGTGAGCTGCCCTACCCTCATCTTCTAGTGAGGGTGATGGGTTTCTCTTTGAGATGGCCATGGCAATCAGTTGGGCATCTTGCCTCATCCCTAGCTCACGGTGTGCTTCAGACTGTTTGTCCATCCCCTTCCTCAGAGACAAAACAGAGCCACCCTCCCCTCTCAGTCTCAGCCTTCTTGGCCCAGTGAGAGTTCCTGAGACCTAAGAACTCCTTGCTGGCTTAACTTGTGTGGACTCAGGCTACAGTTTTCTAAAACTCAGAAGAGGCACTGAAGGGTGGCAAGGGTGGGCACTAATCCTGTCTATTTAAATGATTAACATTTTTCTCTTGGGATATCAAAATTTGCATTTAAATGGATGTTTTAAATAGCCTGTTTTACTCTTTATTTGCAAAAAAAAAAAATGATGAAAGACAAAGTGTGTTTGTTCTGACTAAAAATGATCTCTCCTGGCTTTTAGAGAAATTGAGTTGCATATTATGCCCCTTTCCTTAGAGGTATCTCTGTCCGCCCTGCGTAGATAATTGAAAATCTCACCGCTTAAATGGCATGAAAGATGGAGAAAGCGTAGGAGATGCGTAATGGTGTGGGTCGCAACAATAATTAGAAATTTCAAGGCGAGAGAACGGTATTTTAGTGCAAGTTATTGTGTGTCGGGAAAATACTAATTAAATGGGATAAATGGTCGTTAATGGTAAAATTCCATTCAGGCACATGAGCTGTCTAGTTTTAATGGGTTTTCATTTGGCTTGGCTAAGAGTCCCTCTTCTATATTGTTTGATAAGCTCTTTGTATGTTTTCAGATTTGCTCCTGTTGAAATCATTCCTGGCTTAGTTTTAAATGTATGAAACTTTTCATGCTCTTACAAAGAATTGTATCTACTTGTCTGAGAAAATAACTTGGGCAGGTAAAGCTATATTGAAGAACTTTAAAGACAGAGAATGGTGCCATTGAGAATATTTTTGAAATGGCCAATCTATTAATTCTCGTCAGATTAATTTTTAAGGCTTAACAGAGTTTACAAGAGAAATCCTATTATAATTCCTTAGAAACTGCCTGTGTGATTCTAAAACTTACCTAGAAATAGAAGCATGGAAGAAAATAAAATGTTTTTTTGTTGTTTTTTAAGAGAAACCAGAAAACACCAGTTTGACTGTATATCAAAGCATTGCATAAAGCTACAGTAATTAAAACAATATGGTCAGACCAGAGTGCAGCTCTGTTGGTGGAATGCTCACCTAGCATGCCTGAAGTCGCTGCACAAAACTGGGCGTGGTGGTGCACACCTGTGAACTCAGCACTTAACACTCGGGAGGTGGAGGCAGGAGGATCAGAAGTTGGCTTGTGTATTGAGCTCAGGAACTATCTTATGGTAGACAAGATTGTCCCCGGCTTCTGTTGGCTTGACCCCACTGATCTTCTACTTAACAGTGAGGCAGCCGTTGTGTATTCAGTAGACACCGCTTTGACTGTTGAGTTTGGATCTTTTCCAGGCTGGCCGTTTACAGCGCCACACTCCCTGGGGTTGCTGGACAGGGGCAGCTACTGAATGGTGGCTTGTCAGAGAACAGCCATGTTCTCTATCAGAAAGGGAACTGCAGGCAAGTCTGCCGTGGGCTGTCACTTAGCCATACAAGTTGGAAGATTAGGTATGGTAAATATATTTTTTGGCATACCACACTTTGTCAGTCTGTGGTAAGTTTATCAGGTGTAACTCCATCATCAGCTGAAAGGACACACACTTGATAGAGAAAATTCGAGAGTCTCCATAGATCCAGATACATGTAAGAGGGTATCCGTGCGTTGAAGTCGCTGCATACATGTGGAAGCCCCGGGTTTCTCACTGAACTTGGAGCTCATCAATTCAGCTAAACTGGCTGGCCAGTGAGCCCGACGAATCCTTCTCTTTGCCTTTGAGCGCTGGACTTAACTACGACACCTCGGTATGTAGGCGCCCTCGATGGCCTTTCTGTCCTGGATGATGCAGCGTGGTCCATGGGCCTCTGGCCCTTTAGGAGGAATCGGGAGGAAGACTCCGTCCTCCCTCACTGCTTCATTGTTTGCCTGTCTTTCCTCTAACATGGTAGTGTGGCCTGGGGTGGTCTCCTTTTTGGGTAGAGTCGCTACCTCCATAGTGCATTGTTTGCACATCAGTCCTGGGACCCATGCTATCACCTCCCCTAACAGTCTGGCTGATGAACTTGGCTCCTACAGGAAAAAAAAAGAAAGAAAAAAATCTAACCCACTGAAGAGCCAGGCAAGGTGGCACACACCTGTAATCCTAGCACGTAGGAGGTGGAAGCGGGAAGATCAGCAGTTCAAGGTCATCCTTAGCTACATGGCAAGTCTGAGGCAGCCTGGGCTATGTGAAAACCCTGCTTGATGAAAAACAAACAAAAAAATTAGTGTGAATAACCAGTCACGGTGGCACACAGCTGTAATCCTAGCACTGAGGAGGCTAAGGCTAGACCACAGACTCTGACCAGTCATCAGAATGAGACTACTGCTACATCATGAGACCCTGCAAAATAAATACTCCTTAATGAAGGGAGTTTCTAAGAAGAATATTTAAAAGCAAAGTATAAGCCACTGAAATGTTAAAAATTCACTCATCCAACATGTGTTTACCGAGTGCCTGCTTTGTGCCAGCGTGAGAACCTTGCTTGCAGTCTCAGAGAGCTAGTGCTCCAGTCAGGAGCTAGTGCTCCAGTCAGGAGCTGAGACAGTCAGCCTGCTGGTCTCATGACTTGGGCACCATGGAACTAATTTTCAAAATACTTTTCAGGATTTTCTCCATCCTCTGGGAGGTCTCATGAAAGGGAAGCTGACGAGTGTATGGGAGTATGGCATTCTTTCTTAATTTCTCTTGATATAGCTTCCAACATCCTTGAGGAAAATGCAGCATGCTTTGACTTTCGCTTTCAGAGCCTTTAATAAAATAGAATAAAAGATGGTAAGAATTCCTTAAAAGAGCATAGGGGCTGAAGAGGAGGGGAATTGCTCCAAGGCCCCACCTCTTACTTCTGAGCCAGACAGAACGAGAAACCATGCCATCGGAAAGGTGCTTTTGGCAGCCCCCGGGTCCTGCCCCATTGTCCACATTCTGTGGGAACACCCATAGTCATCCAGCCTGATGCTAGTTTTTCTTGATGAGAGTGGACTTAGTAAAATCAAACACATGCCTGTTGATGTATTTGATTCTCTTGGCCTTCTCTGCCTTCAGCCTCATAATCCCACTGCCTTTAATGCTCTTGGCCTGGTTGGGCACATGCTGTTTATTAAACACGTGGTAGAGAGAGAAAGCACAGTGTTGAAGCCTTATGGGGAAACTTCCCTTAGCAGTCGGGGGAGAAGAGAGGTGCTTCAGGCCAGCTAGCGAGTAGCCAAACACGTTCTTATCCTCACTTGTCTCAAGAGATCCTTGCAAAACCCTGATACAGTGCTCCCCGACATTAATGCCTTCTAAATTGAAGGCAATAAATAAATAATAAGTAAAATCAATAACTGTTGAAAGGGCCTGGGGAGCCGTGATCTGCTGACGTTCACTCCGGATCAGGAGAAGGACAGAACCCACAGCTTACCTTCCTAGAGTTGTCTATAGACCCCACTGGACTTTCTCTGTCCCCCAAAATACCGGTTTGTCTGTCCTAATTTGTGCACCTGTTTCTTGGTAGACAGAGCAGCTCAGAATCCGGCCGTTCCTTGCCGCTCCGGAGCAATGGATCCATAGAGCCTTCTGAGTCTGTGAGACTGTCCTTTGCTTGCCAGAGTAGTGACCGCCAGTTTCATGTGCACATCAGCCCTAGAGCATTTTGTGATGTGGCCCATGCCCCTAAGGGACGGACGCTTTCCTTTCAGATAGTTTTCGTTAAGGTTAAATTAGTGTGGGTGTGGAGGAGTCCCGACAACTTGAGAGAGTTCTTGGGCTGTGTGACTTCATAGAGCGGCTTTCACAGCCTTGCCTAGGAGGGGCTCTTGCTACTTACTTGTTCGACCTTGCCGAGCTACCATGGTAGCCCCAGGCAGTGCTGCGCATGTAGCAAACACTCACTGTGCTCTGTGGATAAATGGCCCTTCTCTCCTGTCTCTCTAAAGTCAAGGGTCTGGGGAAAGCCTCTTTTCGGGATACTCGGTGGTTGAGTAAGCACCTGGAAGAGCCACAACCTATCCGGGATGCAGACACCTCTTAAGTTAGGAGCAAAGATCCATAGCCACGGTTTTGAGAGGCCTGTGAGCATCCTAAGGAGGGGGCCGCAGAAAGAACTTTCCAGCACACCCGAGTTCTATTGTCCCTTTCTGACTTGTGCAGCCATGAATGGAATGAAAGCCTGGGTGTGAGGAAGGTGGTCATCCAGGCAGAAGGCTTCATTTTTTTTTTCTTTAGTGACAAGAGATAATTACTGTGGGATTGATCAGGCATCCAGAGTACTGGAGCAAATAAATTGTGCAGTGGCCAGCGAGGGAGGGGCCCAGCTGCTAATGGAAGTGGTGGCTGGGTCATCCTGCTGTAATGTGGCTTGATGGAGCGGCCGCGTGGGTCTCCCGTAATGTGCTATTGATATGCAGCCAGCCAGTTTCCCCTGTACGGCCTGGGCCCTGAGCCACTGGAGCAGAGCTGGGCTGCACAGCCGCAAATGAAGAGGAAAATTGAAGTAATGTTGTATTATAAATTTATAATTTCATCTGCCTGACAGAGAGGCTGTTCAGGATTGGGGGTATGGAGATGAGATCCCCCAGCGTGGCAGGTGTGGAATTTTTCATCTCCGTTCCGTGGGCAATGATGATATTGGCCTATCCGGAAGAACGGGGTGAGGCCCAAAGTTTGCGTGCACTTGGCTGTACTTGCCTTCTTTCGTGGTGAAGACTTTAGGATCTATGTGAGGGAAAATCCACGCAGTCAGGTCATACAGATGGCTTGAGTGCCAGGTGGGACTAGCCGTTCCACTGTTCCTTACCTACATCCGGGGAAAATGATGCATGAGCTTTTTGCTCTTGCTGTCAAATTAACACTTCAGATTTAGGACCCTGCTCTGAAGTTGGCAGCAAAGGAGCCATTTTTCTTCAGGAAAGCCCCTAGGCAATAGTGATTTGACCATTTGCCTATAATCCATTTATCAATATTGTTGAAATAGTGCTATAAGAAATCTAGCCCTGAAAGATCTGATTTGATAGTGGGTGATTAATTTAGAGGGAAATTGAGCTGCCTAGCCAAGAAATAAATTCCAGAGAACAGCCCATTGCACATGCGTTCGGTCAAGATCTCCGGGGCCTGGCCACCGCTCCACACTCTGTCCCATCAGGTACTCTGAGCTCAGTGGCTTAGGCTCGTGCCCCTCTGAGACCAGCAGGGAGAAAGTTGCTGCGTCACTCTGTCTTGCCTCTCAGCCTTCTGCCAGTGGGGCATCAGAGGCCTGGCGGATAATCTCACCAGGACAGAGCCAGTGACAGGGCCCAGATGCAGTAGAGGTAGCCCACTGTGAGTTCAGTGGGACTGCCTGTGTGGGAAGGCGCCAGCTGTAGCAAAGACCACAGCTGGTCATTGCTGAGAATTAGGGCACATTAGTGCCGCCGGTGACCTGCAAACTTCCTACCTGTGGCAAGACCCCACCTTTAAGAGAAAGGGGGAAACCTCTCTGCCTTAGGTCAGAGTCGGATGACAGAATCCCATAGGTCTTGATCAGCTTTTGAATTGACATCTGCTTCTCAGTTCTGAATGGTAGGAAATCCAAAATCAAGGCGAAAGCCTCTGTTTATCATGACAGTACTCTGGCCTCACACAGTGAGAGTCAGTGGTCTCCCTGGAACCTTCCTTGAAAGAGCATTAATCCCATTTATGAGGGCTGTGCTCTTGTGAAGCAATCGCCTCCCAAAGGCCCTTCCTCCTGATACAGTACGTCAGGTTGATGGTTGGGATTTCAGTGTGAATTTAGGGAGACTCAAGCCTTCAGGCCACAGTCATCCCCAAGGGCATGGTCTTGAGCCAGGACTAGATTCAGGTCTCCTGACCATGAGTGACCTGGGTCCAGTAGTGAAGCCATCCACCAACCTCTACAGGAAAGAAGCCATGCAAGGCCTAACTTTGTGCCTCTGAGGCACAAACACTGACTGGCAGTGGGAAGAGCTCCGAAACCTGACTCGTGGTGGTGAGGAGAACGTAGTGAGCAGGCCTTTGCCCCCAGCCTTGGCTTGCAGGGTTGGAATGTGCTTGGTGTGATACTCCGTGCGGAGGTAGATAGTGAACCCCCAGAGCTTGTATTCAGGGGTAGTGTGCAAGGAGAGGAGAAACAGGTAGAGAATGGCCACTGCTCCAAAGTCTCACTGAAATGGCTTTCCACCATCTTTTTGGTGGAAATAGAAGAAATACCTCTGGCTTCTGGAGGCGGCAAAGATTATTAACGGAGTGGTGGTACTCAGACTTAGCAGGGAGGCTGGGGAATGGAACCTGGAAAGCAGGCAGCAGCTTAGAGAGCTAAGCCATCAGAGCTGTAGCTGCCAGCCAAGGGGACAACAGCCCAGGAATGGCCTGGTCAGAGGGCCACTTGGCACCTCTGGATGCTGGATTGTCCTGCTGATGCCAGAGTAAACTAAGAGTCACCTGCCCATCCTCTGTCCACTGGCTCTAGCTGCAGGTCTCTGTGAAGGTTTACATTGGCCTGCCTCCCAGGCAGAGGCAGAGTTCATTCAAGGGCTGGCCGAACTGACACCCACCAGACAGCCACCTCAGAGGCCAAAGCTGAGGGTTAGCCAATGTGCTGGTAGGAGACCGAGGTGACGTTTTTGGAGTATGATTGTACTGAGTTAACCCACACTGGGTGGAAGGAAGCAGAATCAGTCTCTGGGGATGAGGCAGGAGGTAGCTGTGGAGCTGCTGTGACCAGGGAAGTTAGGGTACAAGAAGGCTCCATTCACCTTCACTCTAGTCAGAATCGAGACAGGGGCACGAAGAATGAGGTGGACAGTGCCAAAGTGACCTCTTAAGTGTGAGATTGTGTCACAGGCTGGGACAGGCCCACCCCTTCCAGGACTCACCAGAGGGCTCTCAGCACCCCTCAGTGCATGATCACCCGCTACAAAAGGATCTGGACAGACTCTCTACCATGAATTGTCCATAAAAATTCTGCACCTGGCCTTCAGAGCTCAGCTGGAGCTTCATGGCCCATATTTCTACACAGTCCCTCCAGCTCTTTTGAAGACACATGTCTGTGCCCTGTCTATACTAGGACACGGCCCCTGCCTCCCCCAGCTGTGGCTTGCTGAGCCGAGAGGCAGCGCTCTGTGTGGCTACTAAACTGCCAATCCCAGAGTGCCCCTGCCCTGTGTGGTGCTCTGGCTCCTGTCCACTGCCTTGGAAGAAGGCAGTACAAGGACTTTAATCTCCTACTGTCAACATCTTTAAGGTAAAGTACATTCAGGGTAAGCTCTCCAAATGTCAGAGCCAGACGCAGGCACCGTGTTCCTTCTTCCGTGTGGCATTTACTCTACAAGTTCATGAATGTACCTGGGCTTTGGGCAGTCTGGCTGCCTAAATATGGGTTAATTGTAAACATCCTGATGGTCACACCTCGAGGCGTGGGAGAGAGGGGATCCAGGGTTTGGATAGAGACCCTCCCCAGAGACACATCATTCTGTGACAATAACTGCAGCTGGTGCTCACTGCCACCTCCCCTGAAATGTCACCCCAGACCCAAGGCCACTGTCTCACTCCTCGTTCTTTCTCTCTGTGTTCAAGGCTACCCTAACTTTGTGGCAACCTATGGCCGAGGCTACCCTGGATTCGCTCCTAGCTATGGCTACCAGTTCCCAGGTGAGTGGCTTGGATGCTGGGGTTTTGGAAATTTGGGAGGCAGGCTGCATCTGCAGGGGAGCAAAGAGATGCTCTAATGGAGAATGCAATTTGCATACCTGGGTGTGCGTGACCTTCCAAGTCTCCTCTGGTCCAGGGTCAGGGTATCGTTGGGGCTTTCTAGTGGACTAGAGTGTTTCCTTGAGGCTGGTGCCAAAACGGGAGGAGAGAAGAGATGGGAAACCCCTTCTGCTCACCTCCTTTGCCCCCAAGCCTGTTCTCTGTCTTCTCCTGGGGGATTAACTTCAGGCCCAGGGCTTGTTGCTGCCCACTGCTCTTTACATCTATCTGTCTAATGCCTCCCATCCTGCCTTCCCTTCCTCCTCTCCTCTAACCCGCCTGACTGCCCTGACATCGGGCTTTTCTGGTATATGTTGGTGAGGTTGCAAGGGTCAGCCTTGTGCTTCGTGCCCTGAACGGGCTGCGCAGATTATCATTCTACTCCACATAGATAGCAGCAGAGCATGGCACTGCCCCCACATTCCCTGGTGCTTCAGCCCTGAGGGAGCCAGTGGGCGTGGTCTGGGGAAAATGGGGAGGATGCTGCAGGAAGTGATGCTTTATCGGTGTTGCTGTTCTTCATGAGGTAAATCTCCTCACCATCAAGCAGTACAAATGAGACTATATTAAGGTGCCTAGTTGTGCCAGAGTCAAAGGCCAGATAACATGGCCAGAGCTGATGTAAGGGAAGTCTGTGCTCCGTGGTTCTCTGTGTGCGTGGGTGGGGGTGGGGGGCCTATACTCAGTGGCTGTACTTGGGGTTATCACATCTCTACTTGGAGATCTGGGAGAAGTGATGAGCAGAAGGCACAGAAAGCTGGCCTGAGGGAAGGCTCTCTGAGCCTGAGGAGCTAGAGGATGGAGGAAAGGTCTCAGGTAGCACTGGCCTCAGCTTAGGCTTTGAGATGGTGACAGATGTATAGGGCTATGTCCCGTGATTCTGGCCAGCTTTGGAAACCTAGACACTTACCCTGGCTCTGGTACCAGTTGGACCAGTGGCTGTGGCAAGTCACCTACTTCTGGGTATCACTTCTCTTATTTGTGAATGGATATTGAGTGGGACCTTTGAAAGACAGTCAGTGCATCTCTTTTTTGACTATGTGGTCAGAGAGAGAAGGGAGATAGATAGAGCTACAGAAATTCAAGATGGGTGGAGTGGCTTCCCTGGGACCTAGCAGTTTCCCCATCTGGGGGATGCTGTCAGCAAGGATCCTTGGTGGGCCCTCCCTGCAGCCTCTCTACAGCTTGTAATAGCTTGGACTCCTGGTCCTGAAGGACAGAGAATATATATTCAGGCTAGAACTGTTCCTAGTTCATCCCCACTACAGGTAGAGCTCCCAAGGCACAGAGACAAAGAGTCAGAGTAAGCAAGGGGCAGCGATTAGCCCAGGCATCCTGACTCCTAACTTCTAATCCTTCTCTGTTAGCTAGTATCCACTTGTCAACTAAGTACCATTGGCCACTAAAACTTAGATCTGTAGTAATTCAAATTCAGGAGAAAGGAAAACCTGAGTTCTATATTCACACTGGCCACATTCCAGTGGCTCAGCAGCCACATGAGGCTGGTGACTAATGTCAGAGTGGAAAGTAGTGTATTTCCATCCCACTGAGGGTTCTGTTGCTCAGTGTTGTTCCAGAGATTAAAAGAAGTGACGTGGTACTCTAGAGGTGTGTACATGCAGAGTTGGAGGAATACAATGTGAAATACTTTGGGGACTATGAGGTGGACCCCATGCTAAGACCCCTGTCTTGTCTGAACCAGCTAAGGAAGCATCTGGTTGAGTCCTGACTCTATGGCCCACATCCTTGGGTCTACCCCAGACAGACAGACATGCCAGAGTGACCTAGCTGAGGCTAGGCAAACTGAGGTGGTGTTCCTCGGGTGCCTGGTCCCTTCTGGGAAGTCAAGGCTTTGATAAGGAGTGGGTACAGTGTCTATGCCTGGGGATGCTGTTCATCTTCATCATGGTGCTAACTCCTCAACTGTGGCCAGTCACTAGGGTTAAATGGGTAAAAATCAGCCTTGAAGGCAGACAGTGTTCCCTGGCCCATAGGGTCCATTCTCAGCCACCAAACTTTCTGTTTCCTGTCCATTTGTATCACACTTTGAAGCCTCTTAGATTCTCTTACCCCATGACCAGAGAGGAACAACTATCTATCTGCAGCTGAGGAGGTGGGAGCCGCCCAGTCTTTATCTTAGTATGTCGAGAGCCAGGTTGAGGTCAGTGCTCACCCCACTCCTGACCCTAGCCCCTGGGAGTTGTCCTTCATGGAACATCAGCACACATCCACTTGTTCTGACATCCTGCCAAGCCCCGCCTGGCTCTAGACACAAAGCCTAGGCTGGCTCCTCTGTCCCTCCAGTCATGAGTTCAGGCTGTGGTCACTCCCTCCAGAATTAAACTTGACATCGTCTCAGAGCTTAAGACTTGGTGGGCTTCTAGGGCATGGAGGCTTTAGGATGTTCTGACTTCATCTCCTGCCGCACACCGTAAGGACTGTTGGGGGTAGGTGTGGCTAAGGAGGCAGACGGGCTGCAGAGAGGTGTGCTCCAAAAGTGCATAGCCTAGTGCACTGTCTTCTCCTCACCTGCTCTGGGTGGTTCTGTGGAACGGTTCCCATGCCCTGGGGCTCAATCCTGGCACTTTCTCACATTGGCACAGCTGCCATCACTGCCAAGTTGTCCTGATGTTTTTTCTTTGTGGTCTGAATGGCCTTACCCTGTGCCCACTTCCCATATCTAGCCCCTCTGAGGTCACGCATGAGTCCCACACCCCTCCTAGGCCTTCTGAGTCCATCATAGAGGAATGCTGGGAGAGAGATGACAGCCACCGCCGCCCCCACCCCCACCGGTTCTCAAACCACACCCTTCACTCACTCACAGGAACCTGGTCCTTCTCAGCACACAGGAACCTAACCCCTTCCAAGGTGTTCTTTGCATGTGTCTTTTACCTTTACATCCGTCTCAACTGATTGGGGTCCAGGTCTCACCCCACCTGTGTGATGTAATCCCAGCAGATCTCCTTGGGTCACACAGCTGTGTAAACGGGTTTAACCCCTGCAGCCACCTGCAGGAGTCTTTGAGAACAAACACCACGATGTTCTGAGAAATGGGTTGTATGGCCTTAGGTCAGTCTTGGGTTGGGGCTCTTTTCTAGGAAGGCTGAGGAGCCTTTAGCAAACGGCTGCTGCCTCTCCTACTCAGGGGTCTTCCCTAGCTCTATATTCTCATCAAGTCTGGAATTGTGGTCCTGCATCAGTTGTCTGCCCGCTTCCTCCCATCATCCCCTTCTGGGCTTCTCCCCTCTGTTTACTCTGTTAACTAGTAGCTGTGTTTACCCTGTGTCTGGTCCTATTTCACTTTTCAGACTATTTGCTGATTTTGATTCATGAGATGTAATTGTTATCAACGAGCTCTTAAAAAGAGGCATCACAAGTGGGGCTTTGCCATCATTTCTAGAGAGTACACACTCCTGCCAGAGCCACCCCATTGCTGGCAGGGCCCACTGAAATCTGTCCTGTCTGGCTGATGGAGTGCGTGAACATGATTTTCCCTGTTTTAAATTCTGGAAGAGACCTCATTGTTTGGCTTTGTTTTGTTTCAGAAAACTTTCTGCTCCTGCTCCCCCACACACACACACACACTTTGCTTCCTGAATGCATTGTGACCAGTCCCCCGCCCCCCAACTCCCCGGAATGTAGGGACCTGCTCACAGACTTTGTAGGGATTCCTCGGAAGGATCATGGAAGACGTTGCCTTTTTAGAATAATGATCAAGCAGGCTTGCTGGGCATCTCACAGGGCACAGAGTGAGCTTTTAAATGCTGGTGAGCCAGAGGGGTCGCAGCTGTGTGGTCTGGAGGGAGCACCTCTGTCTTGTGGCACATTGGCAACGTGAACACAAACGCACCCTTCTGTAAAACCATGTGGAAGATGGAATCTGAGTGAGCAGCTGAATAAACACTCTCCGGTTGCCATTGTCCTTTGGGGCCCGTCTCTTGGTGGCCATTGCCACAGTAAACTCATCTGTCTTTGAGAAGTGACAGCAGAGTCACCCTGGCCCTGTCACTTGTTGTAACCCAGGGGCACAGACCCCCACTGGGCTCCCCTTCCCCAACCACTACCCTAGCTGTGTGCCTTACCGCTACCCCATGGCTTCCCCAGGGTGGGAAGGGATAGGACATCTGGGATCATATAAATCAGGCTACATCTCAGGGCTAGCACCCTGACAGTCACCCCTACCCAGAAGGATCTTGTCATGCTGACCCCATCCACTTCCCTCTTTGAAGTGTCCCTCTCTTGTGTTAGTGACGACAGTCCAGTCGCACCCACAAAAGCCAGAGTTTGTGGGCAGTACCCATGGCTCTGTTGGACTGGCCCAGTGAGAGCAGATCTGTACATTCGCATTCCAGCATCCTTGGTATTCATAGAGCGGGTGGGTGTGGCAGGAGGTCTGTGCAGTTTGGCTCCCCTTGCTAAAGATAACCGATGCAACAGTTGCCTGGTTCCCTTTCGTGTTTTTCTGCAGGCTTTTTCATGAGTGCTGGTGGCGCTTGCTCTTCAAAAACAAAACTCGTAGGCTTCGCCTCTTCTTCCTTTGACCTTGGCGTCTGTGAACTGCTCTGCTCTGGTGAGCATGTCCTAAAGTGCTCGCCTCTCAGGCAGTTCAGTTCAGCCATTGTGAATTTCCCCATTGCTGTAAATAGTTCATCGGCACTGCTCCCTAATGACATTTTATGTTTCCCTCTGTAAGCAACTGAGGTAGAAAAATAAATTGTTTACTCCGGACATGCTGTGTGCTGCCGTCTCTTAGCCTGAGAGTGTCCTGTTCTCGCTCCAGGGGAGGTGAATGCACTAAATAACCGGTATGGTGACAGCCAAGTTCATTTTGTAGAAGCATGCCAACTCCCCCTGGCTGCTGCCTGGCCCCGGCTCTCCCCTCTTCCTCGGCAGAGAGCCCT